TCCAACCACATTTATTTCTACATGAGATATAAATACGCACACATAACTGTAAAGGCCTGAAGACGAAGTTACGAAAACAAGCTTGTTCGCCATACTGTTTTACCTTTGATATTCATATGGGAATCTTCCGTGCATTACAAGAACTTGGTACTAGTTCTGAAAATTGGTCAAACATGTATTCAAATTGTGCTTCCATATTTATACAATCAAACTTAGTTTGTGGCACAGAAAACCTAAAACCATAGGGAAAGGGTCTCAAGTTGCAATTGGCTGAGTGTCATATTCGATAGATTCATCGCATATCTTTCTGGACTCCAGGGAAAACTGTCATGCAAATACCAACAACTTTTGGAGGTCTTTTTTGGTTCTTCCTTTGTAAACGGTGATTAAAATTGAAGAATTTTATTCGACACAAGACTTAATCCATACAAAATCGAATCAATCTGTCCAAACATCAACTTCAATTCCTGTATACGATGCACAGAAGCTTCAATGTGGTATTTTGTAAGACGACGTAAATTCCGCTTATTTACAGGTAGCCTTCCGCTTTGCAGAGATTTCACAAACTGACGCAAGTATTCGGAAGTCCCCAAGCACATCTCATTAAACCGCAAATATATATATTCACAGGTGATACAACAACGTAAATCCACTGAATTATTCAACGAACGATTCCTCTTTGGCAAGACGTGCTTCTTTAGAAACTTCACTCAATTAGTTCCCTTTAGTATTTACATGAGACAAGCACGACGAAGCATAATCACCGCACTGCACAAAAATGGGTACCCTAAAACGTTTATTTTGAAGTACAGAGCGCCGTTGACTAAACCAGAACCAGATGACACCGCCTCAAAAAAAGCTGTTTTTGTCAACATACCGTTTCAAGGTGATTAAAATGATAGGCAAATGCAGCGTAGGTTGAAACAAACGATTGAAAGAACGTATAACACTGCTTCCTTTATCATACTGCACGACACAAGTGAATGCTCACCAAATCCAATCTAAACGATCCCGACTCTTCAGTTATATCCTCCTGTGTTTACCTATTTCAATGAACTTGCGGTAGCATGTACGTCGGAAGAACTGAGAGACGGTTGTCTACCAGGGTAGCAGAGCATGTACCAAAACATTTGGCGTCTAATGGATCCAAGCTTCCGTCCAGTTCAATCGCCCGACATATACTGGATTGCAGAGAATGTAACAAACCTAGGGACGACTTTCGCGTCTTGATCCGCCAGAAAGGTAGCCGTCTACTGTGGTTTGCTGAAGCGGCTGCCATTCGACTTTACAAACCCAATTTATGTAAACAGACAGAATTTGTGGCTAGCCTCGCGCTGCCTCGGTAGTTGAACCTGCCCCCTCCCTCTCCCCTCCCTCCACCCTGCAGTGATTCCACTCCCTGCCCCTATACCCAATCCGGTTCATATTAGTGACATTTGGCCTTCGTATTGATTGATTTCTCTTCCTTGTGTGTGGTCGCCTGTCCCCGAACCTGTCCCTCTTTTAACCAAACGTGATCCGAATGTATTTACACAGCTGACGAGATAAACACGCAATAGTTAAATTCAACACATCCTGTGATCATGATGCTTCTTATGCCCTCAGGAGAATATTAAAGGGAACTGAGCGCATGAGTTATACTTATTTTGGAATATTTTTAACTGCATTTAGACCATCAGCACCCCATAGAACGAACTGCGAACACTTCAGTCAAATTAGAAGCAGCAACCGGTGGTGCCAAACGGATTGTTATTTGAGGTGTTTTCCTCAAATTCAGCTCTCCCGTTCAGGCAATTGAAACCCTGTTGGGAAACCTCATGGACTTATCCTTACGCAATCCAAGCAGAGTATCGTAGCGGACGTCGAAAACGAAGGATAAAAGATTAGGTATCCCTGTCACCTCTAACTCACTGTCAGCGGTAACAGATGCCCTAGTCTAAACCGATATCGTGAATAAGGTGTACTTCCTTAGATAGATCACTGCGTCTACAAACTTAACGGACGCAAGTCTTCAGGTGTGATAGGAGCGCAAGTGACACTAAACACCGCTGCCTCCTAGTAATACCCCTCCCTTGAATGGAACTCCAAACGACCACAACGAGGTCATTGCTCAAGACACGACAAATGCTCAGAGCCTACATTTTATCTCCTGCGCCGAGACCCAAATATACCCCAACCGCCTCGAAACGAAGGCAACACACCGACTACCATACAGACTAGCCCTAAGAAGCCTCCCTAGCCAAAGCCGCATAAGTTCGGTTTACTCGACAAACCCTCGTTTTGCTTTGCTTAGTCATAAGCACCACAACGCGGATCTCTTTGTGCAACAAGGATTCGTCGCAAACTCCTACAGTGAACCAAAAACTCTCCCTTTTCACCCATCATCTCACCCTATTTTTACTCATGATCTCCGCAACAAAACAAAGACCCAAAGACCCATATCTGACTCTACTCTTGCTAAAATCTCCGCTGAATGGACTCTAAAACGCATATTCAACACCTGTCCCAGCATTTTGAACGATACTGGAGGTCAAACAGTTAGAGACTGAAAAGAACCCGCACTTTTTAGTCCTCACAAAATCCTGGATGATTCCGGAAAACAGCGATGGCGGAGTATTCATTGGCTGTCACTCATTGATCCGAAGAGACTGAATAAGGGATCA